AACTGCCCGAAGGCTAAGAAAACTGTCTACTGGCCAGAGACTCGGTACATAAGTACCCACTGTAATAATGCATGCAAGCTCATGTTGTTCTACACTACTTATATACACTTTCTACCGTTGCCATCAACTGGCAAGGTGGAACAGAAAAGAGGAACAAGCCGCAGTACCAAGAGGTTACCTTAAATATTGTTTTCACAAGCTCCGCAACAGCTTATCCCTCAACTTGGTACACAGCAGAATGCCTACACAGAGGACATTCCTGGTATCAGAGCCTGGTTTCGATCCAGGGACCTATGGGTTATGGGCGCTGATGAGGGCGGGGAGTGATCGCCGGTGCGAAAAGGCATGGACATGGAGCGGCTCCTGGTAGGCTTCCAGCGACAGGGGTACATGAATGAATCGAATCAACACCCGAAAGAGAGGGATTCCAGAGACTGTGCTGGTATGGGACGGTACAGTTGGGAATACCTTATAAAAATTAATTTGTACTACTTATACTAACAAGATGCATTTACTTTTCGATAGCCCGGAACGGAAGAACTCCATAGTTAAGTGTGCTTGACTTGGGGCAATTCTGGGATGAGTGACCTTCTGGGAAGTTTTCCCGAGAAGTGTGCGAGTGAGGACAAAGCACGCTGAAAGTCTCGTGTTAGTGTGTGGGGACAGTCGTTGATCCTTGCAAGTTGCCAGGCGTTACATTTATCATGCATCGAGCAAACCAACCTTCAATGGGCACTTAGTTGCAGGTGCAACAACTAAATTAACTGCCAAAAAATCAATTGAAACAACACTCCATTCATTCATCACCAAAAAAAATAATCAAAACTTAAATGAAAAAAAAAAGACCTTCGAAGAGAAAGAATGACAATGAAGTTAAGGGGGTTTTTATTTACTAGTGGTTGTGGACTTGCCCACACCACCTTTACCGGAAGCGACAACTATAGTATCCTTCAAGTTTAAACACGTCCATTATTTTGTATAGACATGTGACAAAAATCAACAATTAAGTATCAAAAGGTTGCAGAGACGAATCAGATGAATACAGATTTTTCAAGTTTTGTACCTCACGATCCATAAGCATGTCCATTAGCCGACATCAGCGATAAATAAAATAGCTACAATTGCGCGATCACCTGGGCAGTAGACATCAGCGATAAAGGGAAATAAAATAGGTATAGGGTAGAGGAATAGAGAAAGGGGAGGAGAGGAAGTGAAGAGAAAGAAAGGGGGAAAAAGGGTTTATTTTATTTCACAAATATGGACCGTTGGAATGATATATCAAATTGAAGGTTGAGGTGTCTAGTTTGTTTTATAAAAATTTGAGAGCAATTGCGTGAGTTTATTTTCTGCAGTAATTCGTGGAGTGAGAGACGTTTGGAGCTGTTTTGGGGTTGGTTGGCAGTTTTGCTTGTCCAACTTCAAACAGCGATATCCAAAGCAAACGAGCTCGAAATGAATCGTGTGATGGCTCATTAGAGAGGTATTTAAGTAAGAAAAAAAGATAGCTAAAGATGGAGGTTTGGTTTTGTGCGGTGTGTCCGCATAAAAATAATTACCGAACCATGTTCGGATGGGTAGAAAACGTAAAATTGAGAAATTAGCTAAGTGGGTTTATGGGAACCCTTAGTGACTTGTATTAAGTAAACTAAGATATAAAAATAGTTTAAACAAGTATTCCGCAAGAGTTTACAGTTATGGTCACAACTTTTATTTATTACGCTTTTTATGGTTTTAACTGCTCGCGTATAAAACGGAAAAAGTTTACTCGCATTTTGTAAATGAATTGATGTGATTGTAACTGCGCTTAATATCATAATTAATGTTAACAATACCGGTGTACAACGGGTTGTTACACCAGGCGATTATTCGGCTTCCCATGGCTGATGATGTGTACTATCCTATCAGGCAAGATAGCACTAATATTGAGATTTTCATTTCTCATGAGGGTATATAGCAATACCGCTCTCTCAACATTTACATCACTCAAATTGGTAGAGGCGATGACAGTAAAATTAATGAAAGTATGCCAGAAAATAGCCTCTGGATTAAGATCCAGCCTATCCAACTTTTCTGGCACCTCCGGTTTCCCACTCTTTGCCTTCACGTAGAATGTGGATGAGTGATAGCAATCCGGATTCTCTCAGCTATATCTGGCATGTCTTCCCTGTAAAGGCTTCGTCCTTCAGAAGGCTGCATCTTGTTAAATGTTTGCTGGAACTGGAAGCTCTTGCTCGGATCATATGTAGTCTGAAGGAATCTCTCTATTGTTGTAGCTATGAAAGAGACTTCTTTCCCTCTTACCCAACTCTTCCGAGTCTCATCCACCGTCTCCTTGTCAGCATTTGCACGAAACTCTTTCAATATTATGCTGCAGCTAGGCTCAGGGAATTCCACCAATGTTCTCCAGTTTCTTCTTACTATTGTTTGCCTCACTGGGCAATCCTCATCCAAGAATTGGCTTATTGGCCTCTCTGATATGATCTTCTTTGCTAAAAACCATTTGACGTACCGGTCCTGGATGTCAGGTGTCAGGAATGCATCTTTCTTACAAGTAGGCGTTTGCCTTTAGCACCTATGTTTATAACTTAGCCAAATTATGCATACTTCAAACCTTATCCGAGTTTCCCCTTAACGTTATATTCGAGTTGCAACTTGGGTTGATTTGACTGTCGAAAGCTGGGATTTTATCAGTTATGTAATAAACTTTATCCAAGTTGTATCCCATGTTAATTGGTTGTAATTTCAACTTGGATACATGTACTTAACCCGTGCATTTTACAAGCTTTATACTATTAAGTATATTCGACAATTACTTCCCTTCATCGTTATTACATTGATATACTTCATTCTTCGAGAGAAAAAATTTCTCCCACCATCCTTTAACAAGTTCAGGTGTAATCTACAAAATATAAATTGAAAAAAAAAATTAAATTATAAAGAAGATATATAAACTTAATTTAAGGATAATAAATTCAAAATGATTAAAAATGTCCTTTAATTTGTCTTTTTAAAGATGTAATATAAAAAAAATTTAAAACACTATTGTGTGCATTTATCTAGGTACTTTGATTTGCATAAGCCGGCATGTTTTCCTGAAGCCATAGTCGGTTTCGTTTAATTCACTCCTTGGTTTCTCTTGCCTCAAAGTGATCCCTTGTGCTTCAACTTCTCAAGGCTTCATAGCTTTTGGACAGATCAGTGTGTGCACGCTAGGAACTTCCTTCTCGGGTTAATCCACCTTGGAGCTTCAAACTAAGATTCCTAAGGCCTAGTTGCTTGTCTCATTCTTTGCCAGATCTGAATCCACACCCATGTGTACAAGACTTGAAGGAACGAGTGTCCACCTTGCATCTTTCATTTTTAGCTTTGTGCATTGACACTTTGTTGCTTGACTTCTTTCACCCTTATAGACTTCAAATTTTTCTCATGTGGTAAGATCCAAACCCATCAAATTTCTGAGTCCTATGCTCTCTTCTGCAATTCACTCCTTGGATTCTATTGTCTCAAAGTGATCCCTTGTGCTTCAGAGGAACAATAAAGACTTGAGGCCCATTAATATTTGTTTTCCTCTTTCTTTAAATCGTGGGACCCATATTTTTATTGTTTTTCTACAAGAGGAACAATAAAGATATGGGGCATTGATATTTGTTTTTTTTTCTCTCCTTATATTGTGGAACCTACACTTTTATTGCTTAAGTGGGAGAATTTTTTTCTTCTTCTATAGCACAAGGCTTATATTACCTATTTTCAAAAGTATAAAAATAGGAAAAATACTTTCTCAAGTTGTTAGAAAAAGTAGTATCTGGATCCTCTCATCTAAAAAAACATGATATAATTATGTGAAAAATTATAATCATACAAAAGTAGATTAATGGCAATAAAGAAAGAGAAAAAAATATTGAAATAGGTAATTGCAAAATAATAACCGTCGATTCATCTTTGTATGGTTGTGATTTTTTCACACGACCATATCATTTTTTTTCACATGAGATGATCCATTTTCAAGAAAGTATTTCTCATGTCACTCATATATCAATTTACGTGTTTTTTTTGGACCTGGATCTTCTCATGTGAAAAAAAAACATGATATAATCATAAAGGAAAAGAGAAAAATATATTATAATAGGTAGTTACAAAATTATAACCATTGATTTACCTTTCTATGATTGTGATCTTCTCACATGACCATGTCATGTTTTTTTTCACATGAGAGAATCCATTTCTGTTTTTTTTTTTAATTTTTTAATAATGGGATCCACTTGAAACTTATGTGTGTAGAAATTTTTTTCCTTTTATATGAAAAGAGAAAAACAAAGCCCATAAAATATAGAGGGAAAATCGTTTCTCGGTTTTTTTTTTTAACAAAGTTTATCAAAACACTAGGGACGCGATGAGTGTTCAATTTATCACGTTTTGTCGAACACTAGTGCATGAACTTTATACTTAATTAAGTGTCATGTTTAGTTTACCTAGTAATAATTTTAATATTGAGATAATATGTTGTATTAGTAATAAAGATTGCAGCAGAGAATAATTAAAATAAAATTAAAATAAAGTTTACCTTTAATATATATATATATATATATATATATATATATATATATATAAAGTAAGATCTTTTGACAATATAAAGTAGGATCTTTTGACACCAGTGTTAAATTTTAAATTTGACACCTCATCTGAGAGCCGTTAGATAAAAAAAATCAACGATATATATATATATATATATATATATATATATATATATATATATATATATATAATTCTATTTAATTCACAGCTAATAAGTACTTAACTACAGGAAAAACGGCAAATAACGGCGGTGTCTTCACGTCGTTTGGAAAAACCCCCTTAACTCCATCAAATAGTTAAAGAATGGTTAAGTAACCCATATCACACACTATTCAGCCTTCATGGTTTCCCTCATTATTCTCTCTCTTCTCACCGATAATCTATACCACTATCGAGCTATTCACTTCACGCGGTAATCAACCAATCCAACACTTCCCAACTGACCAAAAGCGTTTTAACATTCATTTTCTTGGATGGAAGCATTTTTTCGTTGAGGACTTCGCAATGTATGTTGCGAGCAGCGCAACGATGATGGGTTGTGATGGAAGCATTTGAAGAAGAATGTATAGCAGCTTCAATAGGGGAGAAAAGGGGGTTTAGGGTTTGGAGATGTTTATGCGTGGAACTGAGGTATAAATCAAATTCAATAGTCTCTTCTAGGACAATTCTCTTTACAGCTTGAAATTTGCTTTATGTATATGTCGATTTATTTTTCAAATTTTGATTTCAATTGTTGCATTGTTCGTTTAAATTGTTTATTTCGTTATTTGTGAATCATGTGTAAGAAGCCATATACATCTATACGGGAGTACAATAGGTCTGAGCTCAGCTCTGTTCCTCCCTCGGCATCATGGCAGGAATCACTTCTTTCATTCATTTAGTGCTTTCTGACGTTTGCTTTATTTACTAAATACATCTTGATCAAAAAGGAAAAAAATAAAAAATTCCTAAATGCTGCTACCGTGCTGTAATTACTGGTGAATGGTGATGCTGAATTTCTTTCCTCATATAAACAATATCTTCACAAGCAAAAAAGATCTGGCACCCACAGTTTAATTTTAAAAGAATTATAAGTTGAAAGTAACAATTTTCTTTTGTATTTAGATTTTCAAACCAATATTCTCTTTCTCCACGTCGAAAAGTGTAGATGGAAGAAGAATCCCAAAATTCTTGTAAGGAATACCTATTATATATGAGCTAAGCGAGAGATTATAATAGGTGGGTTTGAAATCACGTTTTAATTCAAAATCTTGAGTGAAAGTTTGTGTGTTTTTTCCACTTATACTCACTTGATTCATTTCTAATAAATATCAGAATTTTTATTCATACGCCACTGGCCTAACCAAATTCTAATATTTCATATACATTTATTTTTCAAATTTGGATTTTTATTATCTCTAGTCTCTACTTCCACTGATGTCATTCTTCTATCTTCTTCTTTGAAAGGTTTTATCAGACATAAATGCTATAGTTGTAGTTATTAATTTTAGCAATCATCCTTATCATTATCATTAGTTATTGTTGCCAAGGTTGAAAACTATCATTTTGGTATTGCATCCCTTCTCACACTTTAGTTTTATCAAACAGAAATGCCAGGATTGTTTTATAATACATATTTTAATAATCACCATATAATCATGGTTAATTTTTGCTTACCAAGATTGGATACTATCATTTAGTCCAGCTCCATGCTGTTAGCAAACCTCCAATAAAAAAGGTGTATATTAGAAAGCATAAGGGTGAGTGCAGCAGATTAGAACCTAATTCTGTTATCAACAACTGTCTAATTGACAACTAAGAGAATATGATCTCAATGGATAGAAGTAGGATGTGGTGTCAATTGAAAAGGGGAGTTTTTTCGTGTGGAACAAAAGAAGATGGGGAGAGCCACGACTCTCGACATTCTGGAAGCTGTGTGTTAGAGTAGCTGATTCATTGTTATTCCTCGTAATTCCTTTGTGCAGTCCACACTCTATCCTTGATTCTATTTCAGATTAATTCAGATTCAGGGAGAGGAGGGTCCATCAATAATATTCATTTTCCCATTTTCAATCAGATCAAGTTTCTATTATTTTGAAATTATAGGGATTTAAGTAGAGGAGGGAAAGAGAGAACTACTTTGAATATTAGAATATAATATTGATATATGGTGAGCAATATAAGAGAAGATCTAAGAAAATAAATTACTCTAAAGCTACAATGAAGTTATTATGTGATATTTTTCATATACTCTGACATATTACATCCATATTTGCAATTGAATTTCATCATACAGAAATGTTATTATTGTTTCTTATATATCTTAATAACCACCATATAATGCACCCTCAGCTTGTTTTAATTTTATTGATACAACTGTAAAGACTAGAATCATGCGTCAAATGGTAGCATTTAGAGCAGAGTTTAACCAGAGCAGGGTTTAACCAGGTTGTATGTCTGTCTTAATTACTTCATTTATCTTAAAGCATGCACACAAGAGGCCGAGCCTAGGGCAGTGATAAAACTGCTCATTTGTGATTGAAAGTTCACGGGCTTAAATCCGAAAAACCTCTTTGCACACAAGAGTATAACTTGTAACTTGATTGTCTTTCTTGCAGCTCAGATATGGAGAAAAGAGTGATGGCCTTGTGACATGTCGTGATGCTGAAGTTCCAGGATCAGTTGTTGTGAGGCCCAACAGGAAGCTTGATCATGCCTGGATGGTGTACTCTTCGAAGAAGAAAAATCCTAGTGAACCTGACGCTCGTGAAATGTGTGAAGCTCTGTTGACTTTACTTGTAGAGCTTGGTAAGATAAAAAGGGAAGTGGACCAAGTTTTATACTGAGATATGCTTCATTATTCTTCCCAATTTCAACTTCGGTTTTGGGTGGCCACATGGTTGTGTTGCTTGTTCTGTTTTCTTTGGTTGCTACTTGCTTGTTTTGAGTCATTTTAATAAGACAAAAGGATTATTATTACAATCAAATGATTTGAACATAGAGACCTGCTTATGAGATGATATGAATATGATTTAGCAATAAGGTAGAATTACAGGTTTATAATGTCTAGAAAATATTTTCGGTCTGCTCTTAAGGAAAAGACAACCTGATTTTAGGAACAAACAGGTTCATGCTTTTAAGGTTGATTTTCTTTAACGGACATAATCTTCTTAAGTCTGTTTGTTAGGTGTATCATGTATGTGTTCTAACCTTTATAGCCTTATACCTTAATTCCTTTGCTAGGTGTATCTGAAGTCATTGAAACTGTGAATGTTGTGTATTCGTAAGCTAGTTGATTTCTGCGTAACAAGTTCTGAGTGGTGATATGGTTTTCTTTTACAGTGTTATCACATGCGCACTTTGATTTGTGTTAATGGTTATGCCTACTTTTAGTGAATGGATTTTCCATATAATTACTTATCAAGAAAACTAACGAGTTAGTTTCATATCTGTGACATGTTTTATCTTTGTAAAAGGTGTTGATTAGTGCTTTGTTTATGATAAAGATTTTTGTTATTTGGGTGTGGGGAGAAACTTTTTAAGCCATTCTGAACAAATTATGTTCTTCTGAAGTGTTTTTGTGATTTTTTGGCTCTCTTTTTTCTCATTATTAATCTCCTATATCTTGTTTCGTAGGCTACTTGCTATATTTTGCGTGATTAATTTGTTAAACTATTTGGATCGAGGAGCAATAGCAAGCAATGGTGTTAATGGAAGTAGGGGAACATGCACCGAAGATGGTACTTGCAACACTTCTGGTACAGGAATACAGTAAGATATACTTAGTATCATTTCTTTCACCTCTCAGGCATTTAATTTTCTATACCCTATGATTTTAAATTGTTGAGCTTATTCGATTTTTTTTTTTTTTTGTGTGTTGTGGGGGGGGGGGGGGGGGGGGTGTTGGAATTTTCTGTTCTAAAGCAAGAGATTATCGTAGAGTAGAATATAGAACATAATTGAAAACGGGAGGGAGAAGTGAAACCAAAAAGGGACTGTAAGGGAGGTTGGCTGATGTAAAAAAGCATTCCTTTTTTACCTTTTTTTTGGATTAACGTGGGATGAATCCTTATTAATTCAAGGAATCATAAAAAGGAAACGCTAATTTATTCCTTAAGTATGGAACTCCAAAAGAAATAAGCTAATGGGAACAGTAAACCATGATTTTACAGTAAACACTAATAGGCAGTTCTCACATAATAGGAAATCTGTTATGATTATGACATAATCATAACCATCACCAATGTTTGTGATGTTTTTACCACTCTTTCGCAAAAACTATTTGTGATGTTTAGCATTTTCCAATTGGGAAAGATTTCGTGAAATATGTTCCCTGCGATGACATTGATGCTTGGGGATTGTGTGATATGAAACTTATTGGACCAATCAAGAAACAAAAGCATGATAGAGTTTTGGAGTCCGCTTTTAACGTATTACGTGATAATGACATTTAGGAGTAAAATTTTATATTTATTTATTTTTAACAATTTTAATTTAATAAATCGTCGTGAAGTCTCCTGTTTTATTTTATAACTGACATAATACGGTCCCTCTCTTTCCACTTGGTGCTGAAGACTAAATCATGGTTCTTCTTTTGTTTGGCAGTCTAGGAATATAGGATGTGTGTGTATTGATGATCATTGTCAATGGGAAAAAGGTTTCAGAAAAATATGACTTAATTTACCCAATTTGTAGGAATTATTGTTCTTAATGTTCATTGATGAGTCATGGGCGTTAGTAATATGTAAATTTTAATGGAAAATTTAAATAAATAAATAAATAAAAGGATTAGAAGAGGGTCAGAGGAAGGAAGGGAGGGCAGTGTTAATTGGAGAAGAAAAAAATCATTGACGACTTTTCTTTTTCTTTTTTCGAAATTTCTTGTATTTATTTTTTCTTCTAATTGAAAATTTATGGAGGTTAGAGAAGCCTGTGTTAACTTTAAGTTGACTCTAAAGTCAGCAACGTCAAATTTTTAGCTTCCTGAGATAGAAATTCTGTAAGTGCATTAGAGATATAGTTAGGGAACCTGTAAATTGTTATGTTCAGCCTAAATATAGTATTTGTGTTTGTTAGCGAAGTGTCCATTTTTAAATTAACCCATGCATTACTTAAATTTAAACAATTGGGTATAGCTCTAGTTTCAAATTCAATGTTGCAAACCAATCTTCACCAACCGTATCAAACAAATGGAAATTTGTAATCAAGCTGTAAAATGGTTTCTCTGTTAAATCTATCACGAGTTATGTAGGCCAAATAAAGGAGCTAGTAAAATAAATATAAAATAAAAATAATATATATGTGAAGATAATGAAGTTTGAAAAATTATGATGGTAGATCATAATTTGTAGCTTTCACTTTTGAAAAATAATATATATGGTAGATCGCAAAAATGAAGTTTGTTTATTTCAATATCTATATAAAAATAATATTGCTTTCACTTAATAGTTTAAACTTTTGGGATGACAATTTTAGTAAAAGAGAGTTACTGTATTATTTGTAGCTTTGTTTGTTACAATGAATGTACCAATAAACTGATGACTTTTTAAATCTAGTAGAACATCTCTATCATGAGTTTAGCGTCCATCTACTGGGGACTAGTTAAAGTCACTATAGCTTTATACATGCGCAAATTTTTAATATGTGCAAATTTTTGGGCATTAATCATAGGAATTAAATTGGCGCTTAAAGACGATATGTGTAGGAAAACCACTAAGTGATTAAAGGTTAAGTGTTTTGCCTTTTTATACATGAAGTTACATGTTATTGTTTTCCTAAGAAAGTCACGTTGCTTGATGTTTGGACATATATATATATGTTCAGATTTTTTTTATGGTATTAAGGAAATTGAAGTTAAAGTAGATGGGAATGGTTAAAGACCATGATAGTTGGTTGTTTGTCATTTAGTTAATGAATTGTTGACATTTCTATGACATATACGATGCATGTTACCTTGGTCTCTTGTGTGTTCAGTTTTTTTGTATTAAATGGAGAAATATAATTGGTTGTTGAATTGCTAAAGTCAAGATAAAGTAGTAAAGCTACCACCTAAGCTTTTGTTGTCTTAAACTATTGAATGAATGAATTTTAATTCCTTTAGCTACATGTCCAGCCGTATGGTTGATGGAGGAGTGACTAGGCTAAGAACATATTGGTTCTTTTGTCAATAGTAATTGCTGCAGGCTATTATATATAGATTTTTCCTTTTAGTTTTGGATTCACTCTTTTGTTTCTTCTCGAGTTCTGTATTTTGAGGGGTGATCTTTCTTCTTTCTTAAAGCTTTACCATATTTAACTCCTTGAATTTTCTTACTAGCTAATTTAAATGTTTTTCTTTATATTTGTATGCTGGGTTCATTTTTTCCATCTGTTGCTTTCAGGTATGAAGACTTCTTTGGAGGTAAAAAGGAAAAGGGCTTGAAAAGAAAAGCTCAAGAATCTGAAGATTCTGGTGATGAAGATGACATGGAATTTGACGAACAGGTATTACATTATTTGTTTATACACACAAGACCATGAAGAAGATTTATTTTAAAAAATAAACTTTCATATTCTTTTTTTTTTGTTCATGTATGTAGAAAAAAGGTACTGCTTCTGCCCATGAAAAGCAACTGGAAAACATTCATTCAAAGATGGAGCAGATGGAGAAAGCTAACATAGAGCCAAAAACTTGGACTATGTAGGATGAGGTAATGCAATAGTCCCTTATATTTTTACCTGATTTTTTTATTGGTTGCATTTGCATTTGTAGGTTCTTTTTGCTAATCTGTTATTAGATTATTGATTGTCAATTTTATAACAGGTAACTGCTGCAAAGAGACCCAAGAATAGTGCATTGGAAGTTGATCTGGACTTTGAGCACAATGTGAGACCTGCTCCTGTAATCACTGAGGAGGTTACAGCTTCAATTGAGGATATGATCCAGAAAAGGATTACTGAGGTAAATTAATACGCTGAACTGACATGGTTTCGTTGGTTTGGACTTCTGCTATAATGCACCATGCTATTTGCACTAGGGTGGAAGCTGATATATGGATGACATGTACAATTTCTCTAAAACGTTGGGTTTATTAAGCTTGAAACTACTACACAAAGACAAGAGATCGTGGCATGTTTCCTACGTGATTATCAGCTCTCCCCTGAAGAGGTTTAAATTATCGTTTAATGTCTACCTATTACTAATGTAAGAACCAAAATAATGATTATTTGCAATGTTACTTAATTAGTTTTTCCTTCCTATGAGAAAAAAATAGTTTAAACGATTAAAGAAAAGAAAAAACTACTTACACATATTACATTGTCATTCTTGCATTATAGGTTCCTTGGTCTCAAGGCAGCTCGGGGTTCTCACCTTTTTTTAATTGTTACAATATTGCCACATTATTAATATTTCTTTTACTATAATCAATAATTTTAAGTATCTGCTTCTTTTTTTATACATAATTTTATCTTTCTTTTACTAAACATGTTATTCATTTGTTTTTAATGCAGGCAGCAGAGTTCAATCCTCGTGATCAACCTTCACATTCTGCAACTCATGAGCCCTAATAGATTATTTAGGTTTAAACTTTTGTAGTTTTATTGGCACTTTGATTCCATTTAGGTTTGATTTGCAAGATTATTCAGGTTTAAACATTTGTAGTATAATTGATACTTTGATTCCATTTATGTTAAATTTGCAAAGCATATTTACTTTGTTTTATCATGTATTTAGATCTATTAATTTTTAATGGTTAGACATTTTACATTTGTTACACTATTTGTATTTATTTTCGGTTACATTTAATTACATATAAATTTAATGATAATAGATTTAGAAGTTTAAATGTTCGATCAATCAATAATATGTTTTTTGTAATGATAAAAATAATTATAAGATAAAACAGTAGCAAATAATTAATAAAAAAAAGCAGCAATAGCAAATACAAAAAAAGCAGAAAATATTTGCAAAAAAAAAACAGAATTGCAGTTTCGCAGCGGTTTGAAACCGCCGCTAAAAATATTAATTTTATTAAAATATTTTATTTTAACGTCGGTTAAGTATATATAACGTCGGTTTTGTTTTTAACGTCCGTTCCATCGGTTATGTTAAACCAACCCCGAAATATTTAGTGGCGCCAATTTCTATGTAAGTTTTAAAAAGGCCACCAAATATTTTAGCGGCGGTTTGAACCGCCGCTAAGATTAAAAAAACCGCCGCTAAAATACATTTTTGTTGTAGGTGTATTACTCATAGTTTCATTAAATTTTTACTTTGATGTTTACAATTTAAAATCTTTAGTTTAAGTCTTATAATTTCAAAATTTTGTCATAATTATCTAAAAGTTAAAACTATTAAAGCATCATTAAATAATTCTAATGAGGCATTTTTTATTTTTTATTTTTGGTAATGAGGTATTTTATATAGGAAATATTACTCTCCTTTCACATAAAGTAACTTATTTCATTTTCTCTCACTTCGATTTTCGCACCCTACTTTTTTCTTCTTTTTCTTTTTTCTTACAATGGTGGGACCCACTCATTTTCTTTCTACCACATAAGATAACTATCTTATGTGGAAGGAGATTAATAAAACCCATTTTATATATGACAAAAATATATAATGACGTGATAATTAATATAATAATATATACAAATTATTAGCCACCTCATACATAAAAATTTCACATGATTTCTTTTTTTACTCTATCCCTATCCATTTCCATTTTCACCGACCAAACTGAGAATCGATCCAATCCAATTAAAATATGTGGGGGGGGGGGGGGGGGTTAGATTTTTTTATTTTTTGGTTTCGATTAATTTAGTTATCGGTTTTTTGATTCAGTCACCGTGGTTTGAATCATTTTGGATCGGTTGATAAACACCCATAGGTTAACCTGCCTTAACTCATGGATTGGCCCACTTTAACTCACCCTATATAAAGGCAAATAATCCAACATGCCAAAATAAGTGGGTTAACTCAATGGACCAGATCCATTTTGTTACCTTTATTTCTAAGTTCTTTTCTCTATCAAAATCTCTCTTTCATCTTTGTAATATGTTTCAATGTCCATCATGACTTGGACAAAATTTTCTACACCAACCTCCTTAAAAACATAATCAATCATCTTAAAAAATTTATTAGTAGTTTTGGATAAGTTGGATGCATCAATAGACTTCAAGAAAATCATTTCCTTCGAGCTATTTACTAAGAAAATTATTATTGTCCTCTATCTTTGGTCGACTTATCCATAAATTATTGTTGTAAATCTTATTTTCTTCCAATGAGCTTTATGTCCTTCAATAGCCTTTATTTCTGAATTATATCATTGCTTCAAATATTTGACTCTAATCTCATGGTAGGATGGTGGCATAAATCTTAAACCATGTTTTGAAATCGATTTGCACATCTTGAGGAGCCTGTCACTCTTTACCACATTTATCCCAAGTTCATTAATATATGTACAAGACATTAGTGAAAGTAAAATGACCTTGAAGGTCGAAGCATGTGAGAGAGAAAAACAATTTTTCAAGCGGAATAACACATGCAATCAAGATTCATGCTTTAAGACAGTATGATGTACCTTGTTCGAGATTCAAAGATTCCAAGGTGATCAGTGTCAGGATTGAAGGGTTCAAACCCTCTAACGTCGATCCACACCACCCCACATCAAGATGCAAGAACTCTTCTGAAAATCCACCAATTGATCACCACATAAAGCTTGATAGGCGTCCAATGTGTGAAGAAGGAGACTAGGTAAAGGTGTTTAGAAGAGTGAAATTTTCAGCATGAAAACTTCACAAAAGTGGAGCATGGATGCTCTTAGAAAAGGCTAGGTTATTTTGTGAAACCTTAAGGAGAACTTCCCAAAGTGTGCGCCCAAGAGAGTGAGTGAACCAGAGTATTGAAAATCAGATTTTTTCACTTAAAATTCTGATCTAAGTGGCGCACAACTAGAGGAGAAAAAGGTGGAGTTGTTGCAATTCAAAATTCCCAACAACCTACCTTTGAATCCTCATGAGACTAGGTCTTATCCTAGTCAAGATTATGACCTAATGGCCATCATATGGCCAGCCATATGTGCGCCCCATTCAGCCCAAGAAACTGTCCATATACGTTGAGTAGTTGTATTCAAATTTGAACCAACTAGCTCACTGATTCTCTCAACAAACCAAATCTGATTTGGAGCTTAGTTGGTTGACAAGATAACACTCACAACAACCAAAGTGGTGCCCCAAATTCAGCCTTGGATGTGATCAAAGATCGCCTCTTGATACTAGGGATTTGTTCCAACAAGATCTTATCTTATCCTTTTGTTATGAAACAACTTTTCATAGCCAATTCAAATTTGAATTCAAACATTTAAATTCAAACGTTCAAACATTTAAATTCAAAATTCAAATTCTAAATTTAAATTCTAAATTTAAATATTTGATAATTAATTTAACTAATTAAATTAATTAGTAATATCTTGGACCATCCAAGCCCATTAACCATGATCCATGCGCCCTTTCCTCTTTTGGTGGGCTTCCAAACTTCTTCTTGGGCTAACAATCATTATTAGGCCCAATACCTTTAATGCTATATCATCATGACAATAAGGTGTTAGTGTGTGACCCATTAGGCCCAACATAGCCACTTACATAAATGGACTTGGGCCCAACAAGCCCACAACCCATCTAATGACAACACAAAGCACTAGCAATGCTTTGTTGCCCCAGAGCTAGTTAGGTTAATGACATAATCATCCTATTACACATATTTGGTTACCGTATGTATTTTGTTTCGTCTCGGTTACCTTCCCTTTAAACCTAGGGTGAGAAAATGTATCAACCATTGCGGTTTAGGGTAAGCTTTAATTCGAAATAGGGAATCTTCAATTTAATGACTCTAAAGGCAGATCATCTCATGATCTCTTTTACTATGCATAGATTCCCGAGTCTTGTAAATGTCATCCCGATTTCTCCGGTTTACAGATAACCTAATCCCTTACAGAGATTTGACGAATTCCTTCAGCTTATCACCCTAGGCCTGTGCTCTTTCAGGACTTGCCCAAAAGTATACCTATGAGTCTAGGTGACAACTTATGGTCCAAGGAAAGACATACCCAAATATTAAGAGACTGCTATAATGATACTTTTGTAAGATTTCCTCATAGAGTCTCTTTGTGGGTCTGTTCAGTGTGAGCTATACCCTTATAGGTCTACCCTCGTTTTTAGCTAAGACATCTCCATATCTGTAGCTCATGAGGTCTTTACCTTGTATCCGAATACAAGTAGATAAGTCATGCTAGTCTTATCCGAGATTATTGTTCCCCATTCTCAGTGTCTCTAGACTAGGAACATAAAATTAGGAATAAACATCTGGTATCCTTAAATCCTCATGATCGTGATCTCATCACAGATACTTAAGAGATACCTATTTTATTCCAAAGAGTTTATCCAGTTACTCATATAATATATTAACAATAATATTGAGACAAAATATGAAACAGGATAAAGAGTGCTTATTATTTATTTGCGACAATATAAAAGGTCCACATATGTCCTAATCTAATCAAAAGATTGTCTCTAGGACATCCATATACTAACAAGCTCCCACTTGGCCTAGAGCCAATATGACCTAAGTCGTATACCTAAAGCCTCATAATGACTATCATGTTTTCTCTGAGAAACAGCCTTTGTCAGAGAATCGGCTAGGTTGTCATCAGTGGGAACATAATCCGTCTTTACATCCATCCTATCAATGATTTCTCTAATCAGGTCTCCAATCTTCTTGGGCTCCTAAGTACCTGCAACGAATTGCAAATATGAGAACCACATCCGGTATCCAATACCCATGAAGTCAGATTAACACAAGAATAATTTATCTCAATCATGTAAATACCTGAGGTAGAAGCATCACCATGCTTCTTATCCTTCACACTCTTCAGGTAGTCTGGACAATTCCTCTTCCAATGGCCTTTCTTGCCACAATGGAAGCACTCAGCATCGCTTTTTTCCTTGGATGCACTCTTACCCTTCTTTTTTCCTTTCTTCTTCTTGGGTTTTCCTTTGGGTTTAAGGGAGTTGCCTTTTGCAGGCTCCTTGCCCTTACCCTTGGCCTTGCTAGGCCCACCAATCAGAAGAGCTTATGTCTTATCATTCTTGATAGACACTTCAGCAGTTGTTAACATACTTAACAATTCAGGCAAGCTCACAAGCATCCTATGCATGTTGTAATTCATAATGAATTGACTGAAGGAAGGTGGAAGTGAGGTGAGGACTAAGTCATTACTTAGCTCGACATTCATCACGAAGCCTAGATTTCCTAGCCTCTCAATGAGCCCGATCATCTTAAGAACATGACTGCTCACAGACATGCTCTCGGACATCCTGCATGAGAACAATTCTCTAGAGGCCTCATACCTCTCATGCCTGCCTTTAATATCATACAACTCCTTGAGATGCAGGATAATAGAGGGAGCATCCATATACTCATGCTGCTTTTGCAGTTCAGGCGACATGGATGCCAACATAATGCAAACTGCCCTCACATTGTCATCCATGTGCTGTTTATGGGCTTCGAAATCAAAACCTTCATAACCAACTTCCCCTTCCTTAGGAGCTATGGGTAAATCAGCCCTAAGAACATAAAGTTTGA